CCCCCAGTCCCCTTCAGAGAGAAGGCCTGGGAGAAGATTAACTTTGCATTTTATAACTCTGTGTACTGTTTGAATTTTTTTATTATGAGTATATGTTGAATTTTATTGAATAAATTTGTTTCAATAATAACGGTATAGTAACGTATCTGCTAACATGGAAGGGTGTTCAGAATATACTGCAAGATTTTTTTTAAAGATAGATTTTTTTTAATTTTTTTTTAATTTATTTATTGAGAGACAGCAAGCGGTGGGGAGGGGAAGAGGGAGAGAATCTCAAGCAGACTTCCCACTGAGCACTGAGCCCAACACAGGGCTCAATCCCACAACACTGAGATCATGACCTGAGCCAAAATCAAGAATTGTATGCTTAACCCACTGAGCCACCCAGGCGCCCCATGTGAAGATTTTTGTTTAAGCTGGAAAACATACACATGCCATGGTAAGGATGGGCATGACTCTATATCAAGATGCTGCCCGTGGTTCTCTCTGAGTAGGACTGTGGTGCTTTTCCTGCTCTTTCTGCCTGTCTGCTTTTTCTATAACCATCAGGGGTGGTTTACTATTAAGACAGCAGTAACAAAAGCAGTAACGAGAGCAAAAGAAAGTTTGTGTTAGAGAAGAAAAACAGAATAGAATTCAGAAGTAGAGCTGTGGGTCATGGACAAGTACAGGCAGAGGCCAGCTAGTCAGAGACCAGTGAGGGCGTGGGAAGCAGGACATACCTGCCTGAGCAACTGGATAAAGAGAAACCAAAATCAGAAGCTCTGGAAATGGCTCTCACCATAAGTAGCAGCAGGGGTGGTGACCCGAGGAGCCTTATCTGTCCATCAAGACCCAAATGGGAGGCCCTCTCCCTGCGGATCATGAGACCGGCAGGGAGCGCTGGGGACATAGCCCTTGGGGACACTTACTTCTGCAGGCAGCTCTCCTCCCTGTCATCCCATCCCCCAAGCCGTCCTGGAAACACAGCATGATGGATATACTACCCCCATCACAGAGAGGAAGCTGTGCTCCAAGTGTTGGCTGGTCTGATCCCTAGTTCTGAAGTGGAAAGTCTCCTTGTAGTTTCTTGGTTTAAAACACCTCCTAATGCAAGGCATAGGGCAGGGAAGCCTGTGACCACAAGGGCTGACACTGCCTGCCCCTTGTATGTGACCCTCGTCAGTGCCCACATCCCCACACTTATAATGAGAATGAGACAAGCCATCAGCTGTGTCTCAAGAGGCAGTGATGGCAGAGAATGCCAGGTTCCATCTCAAGTCAGGAGGTACAAGACCAAGAAAAACAAAGCAGACTCACATCCATGGGTAGGCATGAGGGATTAAGTGTGGATAATCATTTTATATATCCTTTTCTAAACACTTCACAATCTCACCTTCACCTGCTTCTCCTAAAATCTTCCCATCCAGGTCCTACAAACCTCTGCATTACCATGACTTCTCCGATGTGCACGGCTGAGGGCTACAGAGAAAGCTACGAGCAGGAGATCGTCACGGGCTCCACAGAGGGCCTACACCAAAGGGAGGAGACTCTCAATCTGAACTCATGCTAGCCGTGCCAGGGACAGTAGGAGGATGTGCCATGAGAGGGCAGCCTGCCAATGGGGAGCAGAAGACATCTACATCTCACTTCCCCACCCAAAGATGACTAAACCCCCCAAGTTTAGCAGAGAAGCTGGTCATCTGTCTACATGGTCTGGCTGCTGGGATTTGGTGACTACATGGTATGGTCTTCCAGGCTCACACTTCCCATGAAAAATGTCAACTCTAGGCACCAACACTCATTGGTTACCAATCCACAGGGCTGCCGTGTGTCCAAATGGAGCCTGGAAGCCAAAGAATGTAGTAGTTATAAACACTGGCTCGGGAGTCAATGCTATCTGGGTTTGAACCCTGCCTCTGTCTCTACCGGCTGTGTGATCCCAACCAATTACTACACTTCCCTGTGCCTTAGTTTCCTTAGCCGCTGCATGCATTAAATGAGATGATGTGTCTAAAATGCTCAGCAGGGGGTGACTCATAGTGACGGCTCAGTAAATGCCAACCAAAAATAATTTATCAGGGTATCTGCATACGCATCTGTGTGCACACACACCCACAACGCTGACAGCACCCAATCCCCGTGACAGCATCAGGACCAGGAAGTACCAAACCCACAATGTGTTCTGACTACATCCTCCCCATTCTCCCACTGGTGTCTGTCACCATCAGACAGTGAAAGGGCCAAAGGAAGAAAACACAGATTGTGAAAGTATGGGAAAGCCAGGCTAGAAGAAACAGGGAGCCTTGTCAAAGTTGGGGTTTCAGGACAGAGGCCAAACCTCAGAAAACTGCATCAGCCAACTGCAAAACAAAAAACCCTACGTGCCTGTACACGTTATGCAGAGGAAGAAGGCTGCGGGCGGGACAGGGAAGAGAGAAAGAGAATTCCTGGCATCTAAGTACTTTCCCTTTGCCCCCACACCAGCCGATGCTCACAAGCTGACCTGGGCCTTGGCCAAGCTCTTGGCTCCTACTAAAGCAAAGCCTGTGCACGTCCCTCAAGAAAGTGACCTCTTCAAAGGCTGGGCTGGGGAGCCCTGTCCAGGGAGAGAAAGGGCTCCTTGAGAAAAAAGTAGAAAGAAAATGAGGGAGAGGAATGAAAAAGAAGGCAGAGAAGGGACAGCAGAGAAACAAGAGAGTCAAGAGTCAGAGTCAGGAAGAGTCATCAGAATTCAGAATTGGGCCAACTGGGGAACGTCCTTCACAAAAATCGTCATCTTCACAACTAGCTCCGTTTGGGTCCGAAACAGAACTTCAGGGAGAAATGAGAATCTATGCAGGCTCCTGGGGCCTGGGGGTTGATAAAGGAATACAAGGATTCTAAGAAATAGAGCACATGCTCAGTGTCTTATGGACTAAGGGGCTAACACAGCACAGGGAGCTGGCAGGTGGACAGCCAGCAGGCCCTCGGCTTATTTCCAGTCATGGGCTGGACAGGAGACACAGAACAGAAGGTCGACAGTATTTGTATGGGCAAGGGGAAGAACGAGATGCCTTACTGCAAGGCAAGGAGGGGGCCCTGCCTGAATCTATTGTTTAAAAGAACTAGACCCATTACCTGGGCCACTCATGATCTTTCTTTGTTGTCAAGTTGAAATAAATATCAATGAAGATTTCTGGGGGGCCTGGGGGGCTCAGTTGGTTAAGCATCAGACTCTTGGTTTTGGCTCAGGTCCACTCTCGGGGTTGTGGGATCAAGACCTGCATCGGGCTCTGCACTCTGTGTGGAGTCTGCTGGAGATTCTCTCCCTCCCCCTCTCACTCTGCTCCTCCCCCTCCTTGTGCTCTCTCTCTCTCTAAAATAAATAAATAAAGTCTTTAAAAAAAAATGAAGATTTCTTTCCAGCTAAACATGGTGGACCAAACATTCATGTCCATCTCTACACTCCCTCCCAAACCCCCATTAAAAACAAGAGGATGACATGAGGGAAATATAAATCAAAACCACAATGAAACACCACCTTACACCAGTTAGAATGGCTAAAATTAACAAGACAGGGAACAACAAATGTTGGTGAGGATGTGGAGAAAGGGGAACCCTCCTCCACTGTTGGTGGGAATGCAAGCTGGTGCAGCCACTCTGGAAAACAGTATGGAGGTTCCTTAGGAAGTTAAAAATAGAACTACCCTATGACCCAGCAATTACACTACTGGGTATTTACCCCAAAGATACAGATGTAGTGAAAAGAAGGGCCATATGCACCCCAATGTTCATAGCAGCAATGTCCACAATAGCCAAACTGTGGAAGGAGCCAAGATGTCCTTTAACAGATGAATGGAGAGAGAAGATGTGGTTCATATATACAATGGAATATTACTCAGCCGTCAGAAAGGATGAATACCTACCATTTACATCGACATGGATGGACCTGGAGGATATTATGCTAAGTGAAATAAGTCAGTCAGAGAAAGACAATTATCAGATGTTTTCACTCATATGTGGAACATAAGGAATACTGCAGAGGACCATAGGAGAAGGGAGGGAAAACTGAATGGGAAAAAATCAGAGAGGGAGACAAACCATGAGAGACTCTGGACTCCGGGAAACAAACTGAGGGTTGTGGAAAGGGAGGTGGGGGGGGATGGGAGCAAATGGGTGATGGGCACTAAGAAGGGCACGAGATGTTATAAGCCCTGGGTGTTATAGAAAACTAATGAATCACTGACCACTACACCAAAAATTAATGATGTACTATATGTTGGCTAATTGAATTTAAATTAAAAAAAATAAGAGAATGACAAGCTTTAGCAGAGAAACAAACTGGAATCAGCACATTATCTGATGAACAGTTACTGTTCAATTCTTACAAAAATCTGCTTTATAAGAATTAGTGGTAGGAACGCTCACTATAAAAAAAGAAAAGGGCAATTTCTTTTTCATGAGAGCAGAGACTTCAATTGTTTAGTTTTTCATTTCTCCAGCACCTAAAAAGTGTCTAGCAGTAGGCATCCAAGCCACTGTTGAATATACATACTCCCCAACGAAGGAGCACAATGTGATCTCATAGTCTATGCCTAGTACCGACTCTGCTACCCTTCATTCCCTATTAACCAGCACTCTTTAGATGTTTTCTAATGTCCGCGAGATAAGTTGAATAAAATTGTGGGCTGAAAAAGACAATTATTAACTGCCTTTCTGATTAAAAAAAAATTCCGATTAAAAAAAAAACTAATTATAATCTATTACTCAGCTCAGTTGTAGAAATGGTATTAGGAGAATACAATGGGGATGAGCGTAGAGCATGTATCCATGAGGGAAAGTCCGTGAAAGCTCAATCTTGTACTTCTGTGAAAAGTCAACAGATCTGTCTCAAACTAGTAAGTCCGAAATAGTGATACAAACATTTTATTTAGATAAATGGAGGTAAAAAGTAGATGAAGCAGCTTTCCGTGGCGTCAGAACCCACACTTTAATTCTCTCAGAACTGGAGGTGAGTGAGTGGCCCTGCAGAAAAAGACCTGCTGGGGAAAGGCAGAACAGGGCCTCTGGCTTACCTTTAGAAGACATGCAGTAGTATTTGACTTCTAAAATCATACCTATAGAACACTTGGATCAAGAATGAAATTTTCTTAAACAACAAAGACTATTTCAAGACCTCGCTCAAATGACTCCTCCCTCCACAAAGTTTTCTCAGATCTCCTGTGAAAATGACTGTCGGTACCATCCGTCTGGCAATTAATCCTATTCCACTTGGCGATGAGCGCAACTCTTCTATCTTCTATCTTTCCACATGTCTTGAGTCCCTAAGTTACGACTGCTTCACGGGAAAGTGCGCTTCTCACCACAACTGAGGAGTCCACCGCAGACCAGGTGATTAAATCCACAAGCTCAGGAGAGGGGCGGCACCCGGCTCCCCATTACCTGCATAAGCGTTGGCCTGCTGCAGAAGGTCGGTGCAGGTGTGCACGTCTGCAAACGCGCGGATGCCCAAGCAGTTGGTGGGATGCAACTGAGACTGCAGGAAGTCACAGCAGTTCTGCCGAACGTCCATGAGCTGCAGCAAACTGGCCGCTGGGAGTAGCACCTACAGGAGAAGGTGACATGCTGAGACACCAGATCCCCTCCAGCAGGCCCTCATCGCCCTAAAGCACTGTTCCAATCAGAGCACTCCCTCGCTCAAGGTCCTTGCGTGGCCCTCCCCTGCCTGTCCAACTAAGTCCGAACTTCCTTCAGGGCAGCCGAGCCCTATTTCACACGACTCTCCACTTCGTGGCCCTAAGCACCAGCAGAGTCTCTGTATCCCTACATTCCATAGCAGTGCCACCCAATCACTTATGTATATATGAAATCTCTGGGCATCTTATTAAAATTCTGATTCAAGAGGTCTGGAGTAGGGCCTGGGAGCCTACATTTCTAACGAAAAGCCAGGTGATGCTTGCAGCTACTGACCCAAGAACCAAACTTTGAGTAACAAGCCCCTTACGGATTGAATGTTTGTGGCCTCCTCCCCTAAATGTGTATGTTGAAACCCTAACCCCAATATGGCTGTATCTGGAGACAGGACCTATGAAGAGGTGATAAAGGTTAAACGAGATCATAAAGATGGGGCCCTTGCAAGAAGAGAAAGAGACACCAGAGCTCTTGCTCCCTCTACAATGTAAGGACACAGGGAGACAGCAACCTTCTGAAAGCCAGGAAGAGTCTCACCAGCAACTGAATCAACTAGAACTTGGACGTCAAATTTTCAAAACCAGGAGAAAAACAAATTTCTGTTGTTTAAGCCACCCATTCTGTGGTCTTCTGTTATGGCAGCCCAAGCCGACCAAGATAGATTGGTTCTCCTACTTGGCTACACATTGAATCACCTGGAGAATTTTTAAAATACTGATGTCTGGGTCTCAGCCCCAAAGATTTTAGCTTCATAGGTATGAAGTGTGGCCTGGACAGTGAGACATTGCCAAAGCTCCCCAGGTGTTTTTAATGTGCAGCCAAGTTTGAAAAAGCACTTCCCTACAGCCTTTAGCATACCATTTTCACTCAGGTGCTTACTAAATCGTTCACTACCGCCTTCACCACTTAATCACTAAGCATTTGTATGCCAGGTACTGGTCTAGGCTCTGGGGTTTAGTAGTAAGCGCAGTAAGCCAGACCCCGGCTCTTATGGAGCTTACAATCTACTGGAACAAAAGAGTGACCCTCAAATCCCTCGAGACTCAAGACAATCACACTGTATTCTCCCATCCAACAGATAAATGGTAAAGAACATCTCTGGGTACGTCCTCAGAAAAAGGAGAGAGAAGTTTCCTTTTAAAAGGTCATAGAACACATGGATGTTTACACTGTATCTTGGAAAACAGAAATAGTTCCTGCTCAGGTGTTTTTCCTAAAAGCCAGGGAAGACGGGCTTGAGCAGGCCAGAGGGGTGCTCAGACCGCCAACCCCACTCTAGTTTCCCGAGGACTTTCCCACAGCTGCCAAAACCTGCCCCCTGGATCAAAAATCCAGAAGAAATGGCACAGTCCTACTAGACCCCAGCTCTGCTCCCTACCACCCCCACCCTAGGGAAGGGGCAGACAGTCTGAGAGCGACTTTCCAAAAAGAAATAAAAAAAAAAAAATCACAGAGCATTATATTTTCTCAGAGGCTGCTGAGCTCAGGGCTCTCAGCACCCATTTCACCCCAAAACAACCCCCACATCCCAGGCCTTTGCTTTCAGCTGCTCCCCTGACTTTCAGAGAGAGCATCTGGACCAGCTAGACTCCGGCTGTTCTCATCCACAGGGGCTTGCCCAGGAAGACATGGGCTACAGATGCATGTGTTTTCTTGACAAGAAAAAGACTACAAAAGTCTTTTTTTTTTTTAAGCGATTTAAATTTTAGACCCTGACTTTCTCCCAAAACATATCTGAATGCCTCCATGCAATAAAGCCAAAAACCCTGCTCCGCTGCCCATTCTTGGGCCTTGTCCCTCCACTACAGTAAGCAGCTAAATTTTCTTAGGACTGAGGACACAGGACTTTCAGTGCTAAAACCTGGGCAGCTGGTCACCCTTCCTCATCCCTGCCCACCTGCAGAAACCACCAAGAGCCTCCAACACCCGTGGTCCTACTCCCGAGCTAAGCACCTACTCTCCACAAGGCGAGTTTTTCCTTCCTATGAGCTTAACTTCCTCCCTCACGCAGCTGAGCTCCAGGAAGTTAAAGAAAGCATGCTCCTCTCCTTTCTCTCTTCCACTCTATGTCCCCAAGAGTAAATTAACATCATGTCCTTAGTATTTTTTGAGCCACTGGTTCATTCCAGAGACGGAGAAAGATAAAAGCACGCACTCTTGGGAGTTTTAGACCATAAGGTAGCTCCAAATCTGACCACCTGAGCTCCATCGCCACTAAGCAACTATAAACTGGGAACCTCAATTAACCTGTGAGCTTGCTCAGCCTAGCCAAACAGATTCTAGGACCAGATTAGTCTCGGCCTGCTAGTTAAGTAGACAACCATTAACCATTCTTGCTGAATACATAGCAGGAGTGGAAAGCTGTGTTTCAAATCCCCAAATGACCTCTATGATACCCCTTGGACCCGCACTAGCTACAAACTCTACAGTTGGGGCCACCGGTTGACCGATCATCCCAGTCTGCTGAAACTTTGCCAGTTTCAGCACTGAAAGTCCTCTGTCCCGGGAGACCCCTCAGTCCTTGGCAAACTGCGGCGGTTGATCACACTCGGGGCCAGGAACATCTAACTAGCTACCCCAAGAACCCCTGGTGGAGAGGAATAATCAAATGTTGTCCAGCACACACTCTACTCAGGGGTGGGGCAAGCCCCAAAAGGGTCAGGCTGAGAAGAGGCAGCCCTTTGAGCCCCACAGAGGCGGATTTCTGAGAGTCCAGTCCGCCCCCAGATTGCATTCCCAACCAAGCCAAGATGACAGCATGCCAGGGAAACACCGCCCTTCCCCTCCTTTTCCCCACAAAGACAGCGGCACGGTTTGGTGCTTAAATTCTCCAAGCTCGTGACAATCGGCCAAAGAAATTAAATAATAAATGAGTCCTGAACATATTCCTCAGGTTATACTTTCAGTTTTTAAAACGTCCCTGGTTAGAGCTACCCACATAGCTTTTCCCTACTGTTCACAGAACACACTTAGCAGGCAAAAATTACAAAAGTTTTCCACCTTTCTACATCCCCCCATACTGTATAGGTCCACTCCTGCCCAAAAGCATTCCCAAGATGACTTCCTCAAGTGAACAGGGGCTTGTGGTTTCTCTAATTGCTCCTTCCCTCTCTTTGATCTTACACTGTGATTAGCTATGACTCAAAGGGCCTTTTCTTCCCACTACTTGCTTCATACAGGAAGGCGTGAAGAAAAGTAAAGTAAGTCAGAAAGCTGAGGGCAAGGTCTGGAGGCTGGGAGATTTATCACTGCTCCAACTCTGTGTCTCAGGGATAAATGGGGGCCCCACCCCTGGGGTTCTGGGGGCTGCACACCACGCTACCAGACACAAATCCCCAGAGGCTGTGAAAGAAAAGAGAACAAAACATCCATAAGGTGGCTGTCCTCGCTTCCCTCTCCCACATCAACAAGGGCTTTCGGAGGATTTCCTCTTCTCTTATCTCGAGTGCAACTTGACTCCCTTGAGGGGCAGCAGTAATGGGCTGTGAGCAAGAGGCCAAGCTCAGGTCCTCAGCTTGGTGGAATCACTGGGGCAGTCCCGCTTGGCGCCTGGAAGGAGGGGGCCAATACTGGAGGAGCTGCTGGTTGGAACTACCACGGGGATGCAAGAAGACTCGAGGTCAAAAAGCTTTCAGCTTGCCCCTTGCCACCCCAGCATTTCAGTTCTGGGAAGACAGGCTCTAGAATGACCCTCAGCAGAATGTTTACAGGTTTCTCTCCAGCTTGCAAATGGCCTCCCCTCCATTTTCCACGAGCAGGCCCCATTTTGTTTTTTTTCTCTCCCTCGGATAACATGAAAACACAGCAGAGGATATCCCGTCACTGAGTTTGTTTCCTCTAACAAAAACAAAAGGAAATGCCCTGCCTCAGAAAGCACCGACTCCTGGAATTTCAGGGAGGCAGGGCCATGCCTAGAGGGAGGGAGACACCAACCAGAGGGCCAGGTGACAGGCCTAAGGCTCCAGCCACACAGTGGGTCAGTCTCTGCCAACACCAGGCATGAGGCCTGGCACAGAAACATTGTTAAATAAAAATATGTTGAAAAAAAAGAACAAAAAAGAAAGTGGGGGAGGGAAGAAAGGAGGGAGAGGGAAAGCGGTCCGGAGATGAGCAGGAGAGCTAACAAACTAGCACTGCTGTGATTAAAAGTGTCCCTTAGGAGTGAAATAAGTCAATCAGAGAAAGACATGTATCACATGACCTCACTGATATGAGGAATTCTTAATCTCAGGAAACAAACTGAGTGTTACTGGAGTGGTTGGGGGTGGGAGGGATGGGGTGGCTGGGTGATAGACATTGGGGAGGGTATGTGCTACGGTGAGCGCTGTGAATTGTGCAAGACTGTTGAATCACAGATCTGTACTTCTGAAACAAATAACGCAACATATTTTAAGAAAAAAGGAAAAGAAGAAGATAACAGGAGAGGAAGAAAAGGGGAGTATGTCAGAGGGGGAGACGAACCATGAGAGATGATGGACTCTGAAAAACAAACTGAGGGTTCTAGAGGGTAGGGGGGTGGGGGGATGGGTTAGCCTGGTGATGGGTATTGAGGAGGGCACGTTCTGCATGGAGCACTGGGTGTTATGAACAAACAATGAATCATGGAACACTGCATCAAAAACTAATGATGTAATATATGGTGATTAACATAACAATAAAAAAATTAAAAAAAAAAAAGAAAAAAAAAAAGTGTCCCTTAGAATCTTGACTTCTCCACTTACGGGCCATGTGACTAAAGGCAAATTACTTAACCTCTCTGTGCTCTGCCACCTGGACAATAAAATAAAGACCATAATGGTACTGCCTTCAAGGCTTGTTGCAAGAATCAAATGAGATAATACATTTAAAGCAGGCAACCTGGTGCACAGGGAGGGCTCAGCTGAATTAGGTTTTATTATTATTGATTATCATGAGCTGGAGTCAAGATTCTGATCCTTGATTTAAAAAGAAACTCAAGTTCACCACATCAACAGAGCACAGTGAGGTGGAGAGAGCAGGATTCAAACCCCAAAGCTTCTACCTATTTAACCACTCGGGAGCATTAGCTTCTTCAACTGTAAAAGAAGGACCATATTAGAATATTCGTTTGGTAGTGATGAAATTAAGTGAAATAATGCACATGAAGTGACCAACACATGCTTGGCTTACAACCAGTAATACTAAGCGTCAGCTCTGATGGCAGTTACCTCCACCATGGAAGGGCAATGACGTCTCTCCAGGGTAAGAGTGGCTGGGAAGGACTTAAGGGTGGAGCTCTGCAAGCCATTTAACCAAGCCCCAAATCTCTGACCATTGTTTCTCAGGCTTTCAGGGGAGCCCCGGTGCCTCCATGCTCTCCTCCGCGGTGCACCAAATCCTCGACAAAGGGTGTCTTCCTAGCTTGTGAGCAACTGCCTCAGCAGATACATCACAGCATGAAGAAGCAGCCACAATCTGATCCCAACTTTCTCTTCTCAACCTTTTAAGTTTCGTTTTCCCCCAGGTCAGCCCAACCAAACCACATTTTAAAGTGCGGAGGAACAAGGTAAACGAATAGTTAGTATATCTCACTGATGCCGAGTAATGCACGGTTCCCTGAGTTCTGCCTTGTGCCCCACAGTGGAGCCCCTGCACATGCCCCCCTCCCCACGCCCCCCCCACACATGAACACAGCTGGCCCCTCAAGGGGCTTATACACCAGTGGGCACACAGACATGTGGGCAGAGGAGGAAAGCCTGACCTCAAGGTCTTCCTTCAAGATGGGGCCCACACAACACCTCCTCAGTGAGGCTGCCCTGCTGACGATCCTCACCAAGGTAGCATCGGCCATTCCCTGCGTCCTGGGTACCTCCACCCTGGCCCTACCACAGCGGAGAGGACCAAGGTGCTTAGCCATCTGTCTCCAGCCTCAGACCATGTGCTCCTTAGTGACAGGGTCTCTGTGCTCAGAGTGCCCATACCTCTGCCAGCACAGAGGAGCAATGTTCTAAGGCTTTTACCTGTATTAATCCATTTAATCCTCACACCAACCCTCTGAGATTAAGTGCTAGTATTATGCCCATATTACAGATGAAAACACTGAGGCACAGAAAGGTTAAGTAACTTGCTTAGCGTCTCACAGCTAGAAAATGGTGGAGCCAGGATTTGAATGCAGACAGTCTGACTCAGGACCACCCAACAGAATGGGTACTATTATGAAAACTGATCCTTGAGGCAGGCTATTAGTGGGGGTATCAGAGAGGCTCCGGTAGAAGAGGGAACACAAATCAGAAGCTGACACAGTGTCTCCTCTGGCCAGAGCTCGCGGAGACCCATGCCTTCACTGTATAGCTGGGGAAACTGACACCCTGCAGGGGGACAGGGCTACAGTAAGAGCACTCTGCCCATCAGTGGCGGGGCTAAGGCGTGGGGCCAGGCCTCCATCCGTACTCAACTCCTGCCTCATCACTACTACTTCTCCCTCTGAACCTGCACATCTTCACTCTGGACCCCCGCCCTCCCCCTATAAAGTAGTTTTACCAGAAGCAACAGTGAAGGCAGGTTCTACACAGTCCTCTCGTGAGTCTGTTGCTCCTGCCTTAAGAACACCGTGTTGTACACACTACCACTGGGTTAGACCAACGCTGCAAAGATCAACACCCAGCCAGGCAATAAGGATCCAGAGTGGAACATCTTCTAATAATCCAAGTTTGTAAACACTTTGTTCTTCACGTGTTCTTCACGGGGTGGGGGGAGGTACTACTCGTGATATGATAAAAAGGGAAGAAAAAGCTGGTTCCAATCTTACGATCTACAACCTCACAGTGTTGTGGGTTTTCTGGGGGGTGAGGGGGAGGTTGATTTTGTCTTAGTGGCTTAAAACAACACAAATTCATTTTCTGACACTTCTGGAAGTCCTAAGTCCCAAATGGGTCTCCCTGGACTGAAATAAAGGTGTAAACAGGGCTGCATTCCGGGGCGCCTGGGTGGCTCAGTTGGTTAAGCGACTGCCTTCGGCTCAGGTCATCATCCCGGAGTCCCGGGATCGAGTCCCACATCGGGCTCCCTGCTCAGCGGGGAGTCTGCTTCTCCCTCTGACCCTCCCCCCTCTCATGTGCTCTCTCTCTCTCTCATTCTTTCTCTCAAATAAAAATAAATAAAATCTTAGGAAAAAAAAAACAGGGCTGCATTCCTTCTGAAGGCTCTAAGAGAGAATGTTTCCTTGCCTTTCCTGCTTCTAGAGGCCACCCACATTCCTTGGTTCATGGCTCCCCTGTCTTCAGAGAGGGAAACATCAAGTTGAGCCTCTGTCGGGTCACATCTCTCTGGTTCTCCTTATCCCCCCTCCCCCTTCCACTTCAGAGAGCCGCTGTGACTACACGTCCCCCCACCCGGATAATCCGAGGTAATCTCCCCATTCTGCTGATCAGCAACATTAATTCCAACTGCAAGGTTAATTCCTCTTTGACAGTTAACCTGACATATTCACAGGTTCCAGAAATTAGGACGTTTGTTGGGGGGGGTCATTACTCTGCCTACCACACTATAGGATTAATAGTTATTGATTAGGGGTGCCTGGGTGGTACGGTTGGTTGAGCACCTGACTCTTGGTTTTGGCTCAGGTCGTGATATCGGGGTCATGAGATTGAGCCCCACATCGGGCTCTGCACTCAGCACAGAGTCTGCGTGAGACTCTCTCTCCCTCTGTCCTCCCCCTCTTCTCTCTAAAATAAATAAATCTTTTTTTAAAGTTATTGATTAGACCCTAATGCAAGATTTTTAAAAATTATTTACCCCCTGCACATTTTTAGGTTGACATCTAGCATTTTTCATAGTTGCAAAAGATGTAATTTTTTGCATCTTGTAAATCTCAACATTTACAGAACTTTTTAAAGTATCCAAGTGAACATTAATGTGATGACGATATAACCATCATCGACTTAACATGTTTTTCCAGCACATGCACTATACTCATTTTATACCAAATTAACTCTGCACTCACTGCCCAAAAGTTATTCTGCTGTTTCAATTCTCCTAGACCTAAGATGTGAGCACTCCGCTGCCCACTCCATTCTGGATGAAAAAGACCAGAAACAAAAGGGGATGGCTATGTGTTTTATTGTGTATAAAATATACCTCAATTTTTAAAAGGGCAGGGGATTATTAGATCACTGAACAATCCAAGAGTCTGTCCAGAGGCAGAGACAAAGGCAGGCTCTATTGAGAGGCAGGCTCTGCAGGACCAAATGCAGGGCACCTCACACCCCCAACCTGCCTGCACCATGTCCCCTTCACCCTCACCAGTACCCTGCACCACACCAAGCTAACTCCCACTCATGGGCTGGCCACAGCTTAAATCCTATCTCCCATAAAAGCCCTTTCCAGATCACCTCATCCATCCAGACTGAGTCCCCCCGATAGTGTTTATCATGTTCCCTTCCCTCAAAGGACTTACCACAATTTGTGCACAGACATTACTGTGTGCTTATTTGATGAGCATCTGTCTTCACCCCTAGACCACAAACTGCATGACAGCAGGCAATGGAGTAGCCTCTGCTCCTGTCACAATCACTGTGCCCAACAAAGTGCCTGGCATATAACAGGTACTCAAACATTCGGGTTGAATTGAATGAATAAATGATGACCAATTTAGCCTCCCAAATAACCATAATCCTGGTAAAGGAGGTGGTCATTCTGGATAAGGGGAATAGGTAGAACTGTGCTTTTAAAAGAAGAAGAAAAGAAAAATCCTTCATATCCCCTGCAACTTCCAGCACTTTACTGAAATAGTAAGGCCCTTAATGACAAGAAAGTCTGTCTTGTGTCTGGGTTTAACCCAGGGCTTTGGAGGCCTCCAGAGTGGGCCACACCCTCAACCATCTTCCCCACTGAAGCATGTCGATGCTGCGTCGTGTCCCCACAGTAAAGATGCACATCTTTGGGTGAAACAGTGTCTTTGGCTCCTCTTTTCAAGGCTCCAGATTGCCAAGGATGAGGGCGAGGCAGCAAAAGGAGGAAAAGGCAGCCACACACCCCTGCTGAGGCTCAGACCTGGTGCTTGGCACCTCCATCTCTGAGCATGAGCGCTCAGAGAAACCCGGTTGACTAATGTTGAAACAGGAAAAATGTTTAACAGCCTCACAATCCGTACTGAGAATCCCTGAGATGAGATGATGACTGGGGATAAGTGGGGTCAACCAGGCTTTTAGTTCTTCCTTCACCCAGAGTCTGAACCAACATGAGATACTTTGTGCTCGGGGCCCAAGCTCATTCAGAGGTATCACGGCTTCGCGGTTAAGGGCATGGGCGCCACAGTCAGGCAGGCATGAGTTTGAGGGTCGTTCACCCATCAACATGCCATGTGATGCAAGGCAAGTCACCTAACCTCTTTGGAGCTTTCGTTTCCTCTCCAGGTACCAAATGAGCTGTTTCGAGTGTTCAGTGAAATGAGGCAGTGTCCCTGAGTGTGGGATGAGCTGTGAGCTGGGGCTGAGTTTACCTGGACATTCTCTTCGGTCACCTCAATTTCTGCCGTATAGATGTAGTCAATCAGCTTATTCAGCGTCCTCCCATCCACGTCCTTGATTTCTATCTTCTTCGCTTTACTCTCAGACATGTCACCTACAGTCCAAAACAAAACCAGAACGGACACAAACTTGGTGCTTAACTTTCACAGAGAAAGTTGCCCTGTCTTAGCAACATAAAAGCACCAGCAGGCAGCAGAAAGGATTCGGGTGCAGAGGAGTATAAAACAGCTGACATCTGGTTCACACCAACTTTGGGTCTGTGATCATCCGCAAACCAGTTTGAAACATTCCCCACTCTGTCGCCCATTTCCATTTTGAAGCACATCTGTGTGCAGTAACTCATTCAACTAACATTTCCTGTAAGCTTATATACACAAGGCCAGGGAAAGTAAACAAGAGATGCACCTGTCCTCAAAGAGCACATGGTCTAGCACAGCAGATATATAAAAATATATGAGATGATTTGAGCTTAATAGAGATATATACAAAGTACCAGTATAACAACAATACAAAGTAACATTTACTGAGTGCTAACTGTGACTAAGCACTTGAAAGTGGTGCCTCCAAAAACAGACACATAGATCAATGGAACAGAATAGAGAGCCAGAAATGGACCTTCAACTCTATGGTCAACTAATCTTCAACAAAGCAGGAAAGAATGTCCAATGGAAAAAAGTCTCTTCAACAAATGGTGTTGGGAAAATTGGACAGCCACATGCAGAAGAATGAAACTGGACCATTTTCTTACACTACACACAAAAATGGGACTCAAAATGGATGAAAGACCTAAATGTGAGACAGGAATACATCAAAATCCTAGAGGAGAACATAGGCAGCAACCTCTTCGACCTCAGCCGCAGCAACTTCTTCCTAGAAACATCGCCAAAGGCAAGGGAAGCAAGGGCAAAAATGAACAATTGGGACTTCATCAAGATAAAAAGCTTTTGCACAGCAAAGGAAACAGTCCACAAAACCAAAAGACAACCGACAGAATGGGAGAAGATATTTGCAAATGACATATCAGATAAAGGGCTAATATCCAAAATCTATAAAGAACTTATCAAACTCAACACCCAAAGAACAAATAATCCAATCAAGAAATGGGCAGAAGACATGAACAGACATTTCTGCAAAGAAGACATCCTAATGGCCAACAGACACATGAAAAAGTGTTCAACATCACTCAGCATCAGGGAAATCAAAATCAAAATTCAATTCAAAACCTCAATGAGATACCACCTCACACCAGTCAGAATGGCTAAAATGAACAAGTCAGGAAACGACAGATGTTGGCAAGGATGCAGAGAAAGGGGAACCCTCCTACCCTGTTAGTGGGAATGCAAGCTGGTACAGCCACTCTGGAAAACAGTATGGAGGTTCCTCAAAAAGTTGAAAATAGAGCTACCCTAGGACCCAGCAATTGCACTACTGGGTATTTACCCCAAAGATACAAATGTAGTGATCCGAAGGGGTATGTGCACCCCAATGTTTATAGCAGCAATGTCCACAATAGCCAAACTATGGAAAGAGCCAAGATGTCCATCAACAGATGAATGGATGAAGAAGATGTGGTATATATACACAATGGAATATTACTCAGCCATCAAAAAACCGAAATCTAGCCATTCGCAATGACGTAGATGGAACTAGAGGGTATTATGCTAAGCAAAATAAGTCAATCAGAGAAAGACAAGTATCATATGATCTCACTGATATGAGGAATTTGAGAAACAAGACAGAGGATCATAGGGGAAGGGAGGGAAAAATGAAACAAGATGAAACCAGAGAGGGAGACAAACCATAAGAGACTCTTAATCTCAGGAAATAAACTGAGGGTTGCTGGAGTGGTGGGGTGCTGGGAGGGATGGGGGGGCTGGGTGATGGACATTGGGGAGGGTATGTGCTATGGTGAGCACTGTGAATTGTGTAAGACTGATGAATCACAGATCTGTACCTCTGAAACAAATAATACATTATATATGTTTAAAAAAAAAAGAAGAAAATAGTAGGAAGGGAAAAATGAAGGGGAGAATTGGAGGGGGAGACAACCATGAGAGACTATGGACTCTGAGAAACAAACTGAGGGTTCTAGAGGGGAGGGGGGTGGGAGGATGGGTTAGCCTGGGGATGGGTATTAAAGAGGGCATGTATTACATGGAGCACTGGGTATCATACACAAACAATGAATCATGGAACACTACATCAAAAACTAATGATGTAATGTACGGTGAGTAACATAACATAATAAAATTAAATTAAAAAATAAAAGAAAGTGGAGCCTCTTTCAATCTTCACAACCACTCATGAATTTCATTAATATTATCTCCCATTTTACAGATGAAGAAACTGAGGCACAGGAGGGTGGGTATTCATTTTGTCCAGTCACACATCTAGGAAGGGGCCAGGCTGGGACTGAACCCAGGGAGTAGAACCCTAGAGCCCACACTCATACTCACTACTCTATAATAAATCCCAAGAATGCAGAAGATGGAGCAGCCAACCCTGGGAAGTCATCCTAGTAGGAGGTCACATTGAAGCTGGGTATTTCCACAGGCAGCAAAGATGAGGGAGCATGAGCTGGAGGTAAGAACCTTAGGTGTAAAGGCAAGAAAGTGCCAAAAGGATAAATTTGGGGAACAGTGAGAGGCTGGTCCGGGGTGACAGTGAGAGGAAGCTGAAGAGGTAACCAGGGGCCAAGCCTTGCAGAGCCCTGTAAGCCATGCAAATGAGGTTGGACTTTCTCCTAAGTGTAGCACCACTGAAAGGTTATAAACGGAGAATGACATCAACAGATGGGCATTTCTGAATGAAATTTTGGACACATGGTGGAAGCTGGATCAGAGGCAGGGAAAACAGTTGGGAGGCTCTGATAATAATCCAACAAAGAAAGGACAGAGCCTGTGAACTAGGGCAGCCGTGGCACCACATCTGCAGTCCTGAGGACCCTTAGCTCAGCCTGTGCTCTCTAGACAGCACATGGGTTTATTATAGCCAGGCTCATTCAACAAACGCTGCTGATTTCAGAAGGAAGAGACAGGCTAGACATGAGTCTTTGTAGACTGAAATAAAGGGCAACTGGACTGCAAGAAACAGGGATTCAGAAGCCCTTGTGTGAGTACAAAAACAGAGCCTGGGTAGTTGTTTTCTCTCTGTGGAATTTGTGCAATGGAGCCAAGAAAATAAAGTACAGTACAGCGTGTGGGCTGCAGACGCCCACCTCCAAGCTGCAAGAGCTGCACATGATTCTTGCACCAATCCACAATTCCCATCCTGACACAGAGATTTGAATGAGTCTGCAACAGGGAGGAAAGGGAGGAAAACCACTCTGAATCCTGCCCATTCCCTCCGCTGCCAGATCAGGTAGACCAGAAACCCTCCACTCTGTTCTGTCTTCTCTCTGATTGCTGGTAGAAGCCAGTGAAAAGGCCTGTATAAAGTATAAAGGGCCCTGAGGCAGCACAAAGAGGCTAAGAGGAAACAGGAGAGGACAGTGGATTTCTACAGCACCCATTAGACAGGCTCTCACAGTCTCCCTCTTGAGTTTACTCCAAGACACATAAATAAAGACACACACCCAAGGAAGTCAGAAGTTCAACTTATCTCTCTAAATAGCTATTAAGGGGGCACCTGGGTGGCTCAGTTGGTCCTGGGATCGAGTCCCACATCTGGCTCCCTGTTCTGTGGGGAGTCTGCTTCTCCCTCTCCCTCTGCCCCTCCCCCAAACTCGTGCGCTTGCTCTCTCTCAAATAAATAAATAAAATCTTTAAATAAATAAATAAATAGCTATTAAGAAGTTCATCAGTAAGAGTCCAGTTGGTAATTGTAATGCAAAAGATAATTACAGACAGTCAATTCTTTGGTTAAGAACTTGGGCCTTAGAATAAAGACTGAAAAAAGAAGCACCTGAACACAAGAACCAAGAGATTCAGAAGCCCTTATATGAGTGTGAAAACAGAGCCCGGCTTGATTGTTTTCTCTCTGTGGAATCTGCACTTGGGAGTCATATTAGTCATATTAGTCAGTCAATTTTGTAACTTTGAGGTAAACAAGTGGAAACTCCTAAAATTATATGAAAATATTAGTATATATGGTCAAAAGTTTTATTTTTCTGGGGTTTTCTTATTAGTCAAATGTACAGCAAACATTAAGACACAATTTTCTAGATGGTGGAACTTTGGGAGATATTTTTCCTGCTTCTTTAACATGACTTTGAAGTTTCTAATTTTCTGTATTAAATACTTAGAACTTCAATAAACAAGGGAGAAAAAAAAACATGTGAAAGAAAGACCATGGCCTCAAAAACAAAACCTATGTTTTAAGAAAGTTCCCTTATAGGGGCGCCTGGGTGGCTCAGTCGGTTAAGCGTCTGCCTTCGGCTCAGGTCACAATCTCAGGGTCCTGGGATGGAGTCCCGTGTTGGGCTCTCTGCTCTGCGGAAAGCCTGTTCTCCCTCTCCCTCTGCTGCTCCCCCTGCTTTTCTCTCTGTCTGTCAAATAAATAAATAAAATCTTAAAAAAAAAAAAAAGAAAGTTCCCTTATAGGAAATTGGAAACCTGTATAAGTCACGCAGACTTGTCAAATCCAATCTTAAGTATTTCTTACAGACCAGCAGAAATTACTGCACTAAACTAAGGCTTCAGCTTAAACAGACTCTGAAAATGGTAGCAATAATAGCTACTACTGTGTGTCAGGACCTCTGCTAAGGGTTTACACACATTATTTCATTTAATCCTTGTAACAACTCCAGAAGGTAGATATTATTTCCATTTTACAAATTAAAGAACTGGCATTTCAAAAGGTATTTGCATATAGCTAGCGAGAGACAGGGCTGGGATTTGCATCTTGGCCTAACTATAGACTGCATTTCATTTCTCATAAATCCCTGTGTAATTGAAACCTCACCCTAAATAATGACCTTGATAAAAGTATTCCCAAACAAGGCTTTGGTCCAAACTCTAAGGACAACTTAGTACGTAAGACCTAGGCAAGTAAGAACCAAGAGGGATGAGATCTTGTCAAGCTTACTTGCCAAAATATCCTCGACACCAAACAAAGTTCTTGGCTTATAACAAGCACTTAAAAAATACTTGTTGG